TATATATATATATATATTTGTTTATATATATATATATATATATATATATTTATATATATATATATATATAATGTATTTATTTATTTATTTATTTTATTTATTTTATTTATTTATTAATTTATTTATGCAGGTGGTTGCTGCTGCTGCATTCGGACGGTGAGGTTGTGCTGCTGTCTTTTGCTGCTGCAGCAGCAGCATGGCGGCAGCAGCAGCTGAGCAGAGCAGCACGAGGGGGCCCCTTGTCTTTGCTGCTGCCGTCTCTTATAAAAGTATCTCCGCCTGGTTCTGCTGCTGCTGCTGCTGCTGCTGCTGCTGCTGCTGGTGATAGCCTCTGTCTTGTCCCCCCAAGGAGCTGTACATACACCCGAAATTGCTGCAGCCACAAACCCCATCCTGCTGCTGCTTCTGCTGCTGCTGCTGCTGCTGCTACTGCTGCTGCTGCTGCTGCTGCTGCTCGCCTTCATACAAAAAACCGCTCCACTCTCTCATGCCTCAGCAGCAGCAAACAAAGACACAAAAAAAAATACAAGAAAAGACGCAGCAGCAGCTGCAGCAGCATCAGCAGCAGCAGCAGCAGCAGCAGCAGCTGGAAGATGCCTAGGGCCTCCCCTTCTCTGTCTCCCTTCTGCAGCAGCAGCAGCAGCAGCAGCAGCAGCAGCAGCAGCAGCAAACTGTGGTCAGTAGACCCCCTTAAGTCTGTCTCTTCTCGCCGCTGGCGCGGCCTTTCCACTGCAGCAGCAGCAGCAGCAGCAGCAACAACAAGAACAGCAGCAGCAGCAACAGCAGCAAGAGCACCTGCAGCAGCAACAGCAACCATACGAAGAACACCAGCAGCAGCAACAGCAGCAACAATAGGAAGAACTGCAGCAGCAGCAGCAGCAGCAGACAAAAGGCTCACCAGCAGCAGCAGCATCAGAGAGCAGCAGCTGCAGCGCTCTGCTGCCTCAGCAGCAGCAGCAGCAGCAGCAGCAGCAAAGCTGCAGCAGCAGCAAGACAGCTGCCTATACACCCGAAAAGACAGAGGGGGGGCCCCCCTTGGGGGCCCCCCGCTGTCTCTAGCGTCGAGCCAGCTGCTGAGGCTGCAGCAGCAGCAGAAGAGAGAACACTTGCTGCATGCAGGCGAGCAGCAAACAAGCTGGAGAGAAGAATGA